GTCGACCGGTTCGAAAACATGGACGAGCACGACGAGCGAGATGGCCAAGACGTCTTCGAACGCGTCGAGAAAGGCGAAGATGCCGAGGGTGACCTTGAAGCTGAGAGAGAACGAGACGATACCGCAGATGTACATGAAGGCGGGGATAGCGTCGTACAAGAAAGGAAATATCACGACTAGCGTGCTGGCCCACGGCCTAAGCCTGGAAGGGTTGATCTTCAAGACGCCGGAGGGTACGATAAACCCGTGGCCGCAGAAGTGGTTCTTCACCGATCCCTCGTCCGACTTCCAATGGAAGGTACAGTCATCTCCGCAAGTAAGTTAACGAGCATGTGCGATAATGCAGGGTGTAAGTGGGTCGAATTCTACTCTTATCGCTCTTTTCGTCGTGCATTGTTACGTCCATCGATTGGTACCCATCGTTTCACTAGTTTTCATCTTGGAAATATCGAAGCCTGAATTTCACTCGCAAAAGGCTTCGATACTTTTGTTCGATATTTGTGACAATTCTAGTTAATGGAATAATATTATTTCTTATTATTTTTATGTTATGATGTATTACAATTTTTCATCCTATTTTTTTTTTTTTTTTACGAACAATATTATTAATATATTCATTTTTAGAAAGGAATATTTGGAGATATTTGTGGAGGATTTATGTTAAATTGTAAGCAATTTAAGTTCGCGTTAAATGAAGCGTGAATATACAAAGTGAATAGTGAAAAAATTTCAACATATCTTTCGTCATTGCTTTAAATTTTCAGAGTTATATAGTACAGTGCTATTCGACAGCGTAAATTTCTGCGTATTTGTGGTTTCTTATCTCATAAACTCTATGACCGAGTACACTCTGTCCGCTCCAAATAGTTCAAAACTTTACTGCTTTGGAATTCACAAGCACACCGTGAATAGCGGACAATTGCGTCTAAAAAACGGCATACATTCTACGCTTTTTCACATTCGTCTCTGTAAAAATCCTCGATTTTAATATTACGCGCCTCACGCGATTATTTTCAATTTCACGTTCTTATTTAAATTTGCTATCCTTTTCCACTTATTTTCTTTCATTTTTGTTTATAACAACAAGTGTTATTAACAATACAGAAATATATTTATGACATATCTTTGGAATATCGATTCTATACGTCGAAATAAACGCAAAAACCTAAATTGATATACGAAAATATCGGTTGAGGCATATTTAACAAGTTATAAGTAATTCAAGTTAGACGAAGCGAAATGCAGCGCCGCGTCGCGGCGTTATCGCGAACAACTAGTTTTATCTCTGTCATACCGCGTGCCATTACTTTGTCTCCATCTCGCTTTATTTAAAGCAAACTTTATTCGTTCGTAACTTAATAAATAAACTTCATTATTTTTGTATATTTTACATTTGTTTTCACATTTAGAATAGATTCTCCGATAATATTTCACGAATATATCAAAATATAAGAATATAAACATTATGATATTTTATTATATCGTATTTTACGAGTATTCACTTGATTTTCAAAAAGTAAACGAGTAAAGTTAAATTTGTCGTTGTTTTCATTCTTATCTTGAATTATTCTTCGATAAAAAATAATCGTCGTAGCTTGAACCTCGTTTAACTGAAGTTTTAATTTCCTAAATTGTTTCCATTTCTTCTAAATCCTTTTACTATTTCCTTCCTAAACAAAAACATTTATCTCCATCAAACTTTAAATTAAACAATAAAACCGATCACAAATCGAACAAAAACAAGTACGAAAAAACAAATACCGTTCGATAAAACTAAATAATAGCAATAAAAATATAATCAGATAGAGTTTCTGTGGTAGAATCTTCGATAAAAATAATAGAAAATCGAACGGTACAAGTTTGCCTTCCTTTTAAAATTTCTTGCGCATCCCTCTCGAGGATTCAAACACACTCGAGTCGAATAGAAAATTTAAGGTGGATCTTTACGAATCCCAAAGGTTAATTTGTATTCTACATAAATATTGATCGCGTTGCAGCAAAGACATCTAAAACCGAAGGTACTAGCGAGTCGCGATCGATAGGCAGGGCATGTTGGTGAATCTTAAAGCAGAGACGAGAAATAGCCGGGTTCCTTTTATATTTCTCCCACGGTTTTCTCTTCTAGGCCACCATTATCTTTTTCTGGCCACGAGATGAGGAGAAAGGGCCACGTAATCGTTCCTTCAGAGATTATTTTCCTCTTTCATTTTCATTTTGCGATTATCCTTGAATAATTGCTATAATTGCCACAATTATCGTACAATTTTATTTAAAGAATAAAAATTATCGCATATTTTTTAATTACATAAACGCTCAAGATGCATCAAATTTATCGGTGTTTTGATCCATTTTATTTTGTCTCGTCGCATTTTCAATTTTATTCGCGTGGAAAATAAATTAAATTAATAAATAATCAAGATTATCTCCCCTCTCCCTGGACGGCCATTATCCACCAGAATTTTCAAATCATTGCATACTAAAGCGGATTTATCGTTGACTCGAGATGAAGCAACAGACGATCGCAAGTTTCATAAATTGCGGCAGTCCACGCAGTGATAACGCGCCTGTGTTTATCACTGCTTCCGGTTGAAGTAGCACAGACAAAGAAGCAAATCAGCTGTGCGCAAAATGAGACGGTTCGTTTCCTCCTTGAATATTTAAACGACGAATATTCCCCACTTTTTAATGTTATAAAATTATGTACACATCTCTTGACCATTGGCTATTATTAAAAATTTTAAAAAACTGAAAATTATTCATTGAAATTATCGATTTCCATTTAATCCATTCCAAAGTTGATATTTAAAATATTTACGTGTAATTCATTATCGTGACAAAAACTAAAAGAGGATACAAAAAGAATATCCGAAACAAACTTAAAGAATGTTAAAATATCTTCACTTTCAAACAAATAGAGAAAGAAATAGAACGAATAATCTGCATATCTTTTAATCCTAATACGAATTTATATATTTATACAAGGTATAATCGAAATATCAGTTTTTTCATATAAATCATCATTGAATCTCACATCGAATCGTATTTTTTTCCTCTCTTCGTCTCTCAAATCATTCGACTGCGTATCATATAATCTACTTGTTAATAACATTAAATTTCAATATTTCGATGCGGCGAGGTTTACACGAGAGAGCAGAGGAAGCTGTGAAAAATTAATCTGGAAAAAGGGCGGCATCCAATTTCGTGGATTAAATTAAATTACATTCCACGGTAAATGTGTCTTCTTAAAGGGAAAAGTTATTTAAATGGAAGATTAATCCTACGTGTCGACCATTAGACGACCCCCCACCAATCAGAATTTCAAACAGTCTTCACAGGCAAAGATCTTATCCGGAACACGCGGAATCAGTGTTCGATTTCAATGGAAATCCCATTCAATATCGATTTCCCGAGGATAATTTATGTTAAGAATACTCTAAAACAACCGGAGGAAAATCCAATCTTAAATTATGCCCTTAGACGGGACGAAACTTTCTTTAAGTAAAATAAAATCATGGTATTCCGTGTTATTTATATACCGTATATTTATATGATGTAATATCTTACAATTTCTATTTCTTTGACTTGAATGTCTACCTCATAAAATTCTGTAAAATTCTGTAGGAATTTCAAAGGTGAGGACTGATGGAATAAACATTTGATGAAATGACTTGATCTCATCTTTTTTATTCTCTCAAATATTTAATAAATTTAATAGAGATTTTCATTATATAAAATAATGATCGAGATCACATTAGGGTAATCAGTCAAATCTTTTGGTGACATACATTTGGCGCGTTAATTACAAATAATCTTATATGCTTTATTATACAAGATTCATAGAAGAAAATTCATAATTTTCAGGATGAAAAATGTCCTAATAAACATAAGTCAAAAAAATCGATATTTTTAAAATAATTAAAATAATTTTAAAATAATTTAAAATAAAATAATTCGATACAAAAATTTTCGAATTAATGAATCTCAAAAATATAAATAAATTTGCATAAATTTGAACGAAAATTTGAATAAAAAAAAAAAGACATTTATCATATTTGTATAATTTAATATAAAAGAAACTATTTAGAAAATACTTCTAAATAGTTCTACTATTAATCTTTTATTTAATAAACTATTTATAATTATTTATTAATGGAAATTTAGTTAGTTTCCCAATAATTTCTCAATATAAAATATTTACTGGAAAATTGTCTATTTAATAGACACGAACCTTAAAACCATTATCATATTGAATTACTTAACTGGGTCAAAATTTCCGATACTAAGTTTTGTTTCATTATAAATGAATAAATTTACGACGAGTCAGGAATGTGTTTGAACAAGCATCGTTTTTCAAGAACTTTACGTATATTAAACTTTATCGAGCAATCTTGATCTCATCCCAATCTCTAACCATTCACAAATGATTATGAATAATATTCTTGGAAATCTACGAATAATTAAACATTGTGATGAAAATTAAAAAAAAAAACATTTTAATTCCAATTTAATAAATAATACATAAAACAATATATAAATAATATCCAATATAATAAATAATATAATAAAACAATCTTCAATTGCTCATAAATTAACAAATAAGTCTCAACCAATATTTTTTTTCTATATCAACTTTTGCGTTTGTTTTACTCTCTGGAAGAATCAATTCTTCGAAGTATCCTTATTATTTTTATTTCTTTTTATTTTCGTTTTATCTTATCACACAATCCAATCTTCTCTCAACGTTTAACCTCGACAGACTAAAGAAAAAGTGGCATCGCGTTATTCCACAGGGGTTAAACCAAATGCCGATAAGGATTTACATAGTCCTGGCTGTGTTCGCGGCCTTGGCAAGCGTCAGCATCTCCCTTCTACTGTACGTGCAGCGAAAGGCTACAAGACGCCAGCGTCAGAGTGTGGAGGAACCGGAAGTGGAGGGCCACGAGGAAGACAAATCGACTCTGCTGGGCGCCGAGAGTCAGGAAACCGAGGAGAAAGAGTAATCGTGATTTCCATCACGGGGAGAGAGCCACGTAGCTCGTAAGACTCGCATATTTTTACAACACGTACATGCGTCACTTTAGATTTAGATAATCTCGCGTGAAACACTGGATGATCATGGAGGGGGTATGTAATATTTTCCGATTGATCGAGTGTGGGAGGCTCCGTTTTTTAAAGGAATTGAAATAATTATTATTGCCCAACTATGGAGAAAAACACATCCACATCTAATTCTGACGAGTCAACGTAAATTTTCAGTTTGTTTCTTAAGTTCCTGGAATGAATATATGCGTGAAAAGTTTGTAGAAATTAGTGGTAATTTAGAATAATTTTGTGATAATTAAGCGATACTGTATTTTATAATACAGTTACTTTTTATTTTATTTATATTTTATTCGTTAGATTATTTCACATTATTATCTTCTTCAATAAGTGGGCAATATTTTATTTTATTTTACATCTTGGTTACATAGTTGTGCATAGTGAAAAATCAATTTCGATTATAGTTTCAGAGACGTATATGCTAAACTTACGATGTTTTAATCCTTAGGGGTTTTTTGATACGAACATTTGTTATTAATATTTGACAGTTTTGAAAGATATCGTGTAATATTTAATTCTCACAAAGATATTTGATAGATCAAAGTATTAATAATTCTTTGTACGTGTTATTAATATTTTGATTTTTGATATATTTCCAATAATCAATTCCAAGGACGAATTGCTTTCAATTTAATCATTCCAAAATATACTTGAGATCTTTTATTTATAATCATCGAAAGATTTCATCGTGTTCGAAAGTTAATTCAATGATTTCGATCTTCTACGCAAAGGATCAGACTCAATTTCTTCAGTCGATACATTCAATCAAGAAGGAGAAGATCGTTGAAAAGATAATCGACTATAGATGGATGGAAATTTTCGACGACAAATGTTCTTCTTTCAAATGCGATTGAGATATGCAGACGACTGAATGGAATAACATAGCGTGGTCACATTTTTCACTTATTATTGTGCTGATGCGTTGTGGTCCGATTAATTTCCATTATATATTAATATTAAACGCTATTTGTTTAAAATGATTGTGATTTCTTTGTATTCTAATATCTAATTATTTGCAACTTACTTTATAACATTATGTATTATACTTATCTATTGCATTTTTATAATCAAATTTAAAACTATACGTATATTTCTTATATTATTAATATAAATAGATCCAAATTTAAGTTTTTACGAATGGTTATATTTATTTAAAAAAGAATTATATTTTTTAATTATTTAAAAAAGAAATTTGGAAAATTGAATTGATATTCTATCGGACCATGACGTGTTACACACACATTTTTTTTGAAACATTACGATTAAATCTCTATCAACAAAGTTTAAGACATAAAATGTAAAATTTCTTTCTCAAAAGAAGAAAAAGAAAAAGAGATTCCTTTCGATTATCAGTATATAGATATTCACTGGCTGTTTAATAGTTTAATAGTGAACTGCACGAGATTCATATTTCTTGATGTCAGAAAGTTCTAATGATTTTTTAATGTTTTATAAAATATCTTGCATATCTCTGCTGAAGATCATAGATTTCGAAACTCTTTGCTACAAACGTATGTATGAAAAAATAAACCTATACGTATAGTAAGTAAAACAAAGCTACGTACCTCGATGACTTATTAAGGAGATAGTTTCTGAAAAAAAAAGAAGGTATCGTTAATTATCGATAAAAATCTTAAAGGAATCTTTTATATTTTGTTTATTATTATCGTTATCTTATTAAAAGAAATAAAATTAATCTTTTATTAATGATACTTATAGATCACTTTTTATCGAGATTTGGAAATAATTATAATATTTATCATTAATCAATAAAGGTCAATAAAATATTTAATATTCAAAAAGTGAATATTAATTATCTTGTGTTATTTTTGATCCTTTGATGTTTTTTTTCTATATTGAATTCCAATCTGTAGTCAAATTTTTTTCTTTCATTTATATCTTTATGCGCACTTTTATTGATTAATAATTATTAAATTTATAAGTTTTTTATTTGACATTTTTAAAATGTCAAACAAGAATATTACACGTATATTACATCTTTAAAAAGAAATCGATATTAACGATACATCAAGAATAATGTCATATTAAAGGACAGTCTCCTTAATTCGATCACACTATTTGCTAAATTTTCTATAATGTATGCAATATGCACTTATACATGATCGTAAAATGGTACGAATACTTTGCCGATTTTTTTGAAAAATCGGAAGAAATTGCACTCTAAAATTTTCTAGCACTGACAAAATTCTTTATTTCGTTTATCATCGCATAAATTTACTGCCATGAAAAATCGGTAACCAAATCTTCAACAATCAATTTAATTAATTGTTTGAAAATTCATTCGAATTTTAATTTACATTCGAATTATCGAATATAACAATTTTAAATTTAATTTCTTTTAATTTTTTTAATTTTCTATGACTTTTTTATTAAACTATACAATTTTTCATATCAAACATTTCTTTTAATAGATATGTTATTGTATTTATTTTTAAGAAATTTATACAATGTAATTTAAACATGTAAACAAGATATCATCAAAGATAGATCATAAAATTTTCTAAAATTATATTTCATTGTCTCTCGAACGATATCATATTTTATAATAGCGTATCATCTCATTCATATTCAATATCTTATTTTATTATTTAATTACCTGATAGGCGTTCATAAAAATCAATTTATTTCTCTTTGTTTCAGAATAATGAAAGTTCCTTTAAAGACAAAATATAATTAACTGAATATTTCTCGTTCAATTTTTTAATTGATAAAGATATTTTTTTTAAAAAAAAAAATGTTCACTTTGTTAATTAATCGCTTCGCTGTAAAACGAGCTGCGATTAATCAGTGAAAAGTTGACCCGCAAATTCCTTATCATTTTTTTTCTATTTTCTTTTATTTTATTGTCCCTTAGATATAACCACATGGATGAAAATGAGAAAAAATATTTGATGATACAGATAAAATTAAAATTATTTCATTGATAAGCTTACGTAACGGAGCAGCATGTCATTTTGATATAATACGTCAGATACATTGCGAAAGAATGATAACAATTTGGCTCGATATATTTAAATTTATCATCACACGACATGTATTAATTTAAATCGACAAATATTCTTAAAATTATTCATTATTCTACGATATGAATTGAATATATATTATTTTAAAAAAATTTTGTAATTCGAATTTATATGCGATTTGTTTATTAAATAAATTTGTATGATTATTTATATAACAATCAAATCGTTTTAACAATATTTTCTATTTTTATTTCTTATATAAAAATTATCTACAAACATTGCATATATTACGAAACAGAATTTTGTAGCAAAAATATTATTTTATGATTAATTTATGAAAAATGTGTATAAATTGTGTAAAAAGATGTTATTTCAATTTCGAATATATTCATATTTTCATTGATATATCAATATTCCAAACTGCGACTTACAATTATTAACTATTAATTAAACTTCATCATTGTGAATAATTAACGATTAATTGGATTGTCTTATGATATCATATTGTATGTTAATATTAACAAAAAAAAAAAAAAAAAAAAGAAAAAACAACATTCTTATTATTAAGACATTTTTACTAAGAATTTAAAATTTCTATTAGTGAAATGTATTTCTTCTATAATTAAAATGGCGATGGTCTATAACAGAATTTAGGAGACAATCGAATGTAGTATTTTTTGCGCCATTTTTCATACAATTTGCAAAAAACAAATAGCATCGTTCAGTATTTTTTAAGGCAATACACAGAATGTAAGAAGGTAAATTATTATTTAAACAATTAATTTATAAATTTAGATACGTTTTGATATTTTTATAATAATACTAATACTAATACTACTACTAATAATAATAAAAATAATAAACGAGCTCAATTAACAATAATTTTAAAATGATTATTTAAAATTTCATTACAATATTGTATTTTTATTTAAGAAAATATTCCTTATGTTTTGTTACTTTTTTCAATATTTATAAATAATGAAAATCATTGAATCATTTTCCTTAATAAAAAAAAAAAGCTTGAACGAAACGATTGTTTCTTTCAAAAAAATAAATTTTTGTAAAAAGTCAGCAAAACGACTTAATTACGAAACAGTAATTTTACTGAATTATTAGCAGATTATAAGACCTGTTGCTCAATTACCATTGCTTCACTGCGAGAAAAATCATGAAGATTTTGTAAAAAAGATTTTTGTAGTCGACAGTAAAAACTGCATTGCAGAAAAATCCAGCGAGTACTAAAATATTTAGTTTATCGATAAACATATAAAACGATACGTTACGCGTTATATGTATAAATATGTGTTACCTCTAATTAAGTGTAAGACCAATTATTTGAACCAATATTTTCTATAATTATGCGAGAAATACATTATTTCTGCGAAATAATCGTACGCTAGAAATCGATGTAAAATCATATCGATAGAAATAGATGAGATGCGAACAGTGAACGTTCACGATGTTGTATCATTTTTTATTATATCTGTTCGAACACAATCGATTGATTTATTATTGAAAAGGACAAGCTCGAAAGCTCGTCGAATGGTAATTAGATTGACAAAGCTTTGAAAAAACGTGATCAGAAAGAGTAACTTTTTCTTTTCACGAACGTTCCTTCGTTCTCGAGCCAATGAACACGCAAATTATAAATACACATGTAATTCTTGTATAAAGAAAACAAGAAAAGGGACAGAGAGAAAGAGAGAGAGAGAAAGAGAAAGAGAGAGAAAGTGAGAGAGAAAGTGAGAGAGAAAGAGAGAGAGAGAGAGAGAGAAAAAAATGTCCTATGCATTTTTGAAGAAATAAGGAACAAAGAGAGAAAAAAAAAAGACAAATGAGAATAAAGGACTTATAAGTGACACAATAGTGCTGTAGCTGAAAAGAGAGAGACGGTTATAGTTTCTATTTTGAAGATTATATTTTTTTAACTTTATTAATTTTTGACTTCCACATATATATATATTTATATATATATATATATACATATAATTGTATATAAGTATTCGCATACCTATTATACACATATAAATATAAATAAATAAGTATATATTTAAAAATTATAAATATTAAGTGGATAACAAATGAGATATTGTATATATACATACACACATATATATATATATATTTGAAAAAATGAGGCCGTGTAACGCATGAAATTGTGAAATATTCTAATATTAAAAATAATATTAAGCACATCGCAAGTCTATCATCTATATAAATGTTTGAAATTTCGAGATGATAATCACGATGAAAATAATCGAAATATCAATTAGAGTATTAGCGACAATGTAATTGAATGTGATTCGTATTTTCTTGAAAAAGAAAACCGATCAAAAATTGGAATTTTTCTTTTTTCTTTTTATATTTATTCTAATTTTTTTTAAATATTTTTTTAATTTTTTTTTTCAACTTGAAATTGATCTTAAATACATATTAACAATTTTACTTATTTCAATAAAATATTTTTCGAGAAAAAAATTTTCTAATTGATAATCTAATTATTATTTTAAATATTTTTGAATTTTATGGAACATATTATTAATTCCAAAATTTTGATCGGTATTTTCCAAAATAAGCAATTATTCCATAAAAATTTAAAAAATATAAAAATATAAGATAAATAAAGACATTCTGTAATCGCAACAAACAAATATGAAATACAATTTGTCTTTATAATAGTGTGGCAGTCACTGGGATTTTTATCTTGTTCTTTGTGTATAAAAGTTTAACAAGTTTCGAAACAACGTGAAACAGCATTTTGTAAAAATGCGGACAAATAAAGAAAGAAAAAGTTAACCACTGTAATAGATAGAAGGCGCAAATTGCAATTCTTTTTGAAGATTATCATAAAATATAACACACAGTTTCAAAAAAAAAGAAAGAGAGAGAGAAAGGGACAGAATATCAGAAAAATAAATACTTCCTGTTCCTTTTATTTTCCAATAAAATTCTTTCCCTTTTATTTTTATATAAAAATCTTTCATTTACTTGATCCAACTTCATAATTTTTGATGAATCTTTTCTTTTCACTTGTCCCTCGAATATATTATAAATTACTTCATTTCGAGAAAATGAATTTTTTGAGACAGGAAAGTTATCTTAATTGACAAAGCAAAAAATATTTTTTCAGCCATCTATTCTTGACGATTTAAAAAATATCGAATTCAAAGTGTTTCTACTCTTTGATCCTTCGCCAAATAAAATGTCGACTCGCCAATTTAATTAATATCACAAACGTTAAAAGGCAATGCGACAATTTTTCACAGTGAAAGCTACGTTTATTCATCAGTCGCGATATTAACTATGAGAAATTGAAGGAAAGGGAAAATGAAAAAAAATGTGATTGAAGCACAAGTCGAACGAATAGTAGAAGCGAATGGATTAACAAAAATGAAATACGTGTTTCGAGTGGGTGTAATAACGAAACGATGATCTCGTTAAATCTGTATCACACGTGGATTTACGAACGTTTCGGTGGAAACAACGTATGAATTTACGATTAATTCGATATAATTTCTGACCGATTGTGCCCGTGTGTACAACGATTCGACTCGACGATGAACACGATATTATTAATGAAAACGCAATTAATGTAACAATTGATTACCGTTACACGGCTTATCGCATTAGCTAGCTTAGGTAGGCGAAATAATTTTGTGTACATATATTATTAAATATTGTAATGTATGTCTCGAGAATCACGGCATGGATCATTGATCGTTGGTGCGTTTACTATTGAGAATTGATATGTTAATTCGAGTTAAAATTGGAATAGCTCATGCCTAATTAGGGCCTATAAGTGTATACAAAATGAATAAAATGTTGAGAATAAATTTTGGTTTTTCATTCTCTTTTTTTTTTTGTTTCATATATGTCAAAAGATTTTATTGAATCAATTCAAATGTAGTTATTAATTGTAAATAATTTATTATCTCTATTAATATTAGATAAATCGAGATGTTTTTGTTAACATTTTCACATTTAATGAAATTTAAACGTTATTATATGCGAAAAAATAATTAGTTTTAAAATATTATACGAATTGTTGAAAGATTGATTTATTTCATGAATATTTATAAGTACTTTTTTTTTAGAAATATTTTAAAAATTATATCTTATTTTAAATTCTGCGGATATATGACAAAAACCACGAAGTATGAAAATACAAAGAAGATAAGCTATATGTTGAAATAAGAAACAAAAATAAATGAAGCAAATCTGTTATCAATTCTTTTGTATTATTTCTTCTTTTTTAGAAAAAGATATTTCATTTTTTATGGTATAAAAAGGAAAAAACAAAAAATATCTCTGAGAAGATTTGAATCAGTTGCATAACGTGTCTCTTTTTTTATATATTTCTTCTTTTTTTGTTTTTCATTTTGTATATCTTAAATTATTTGAATTACCTTAATACTATTGATATTCTACTAATCATTTATAATTCAAATATATTTGATTAGAAAGTTCAATGATTCTTTCATATTTCTTTTATCAATTATATCTTTATTTCATATTTTGCAACTATATTTCTTTTTTCTTCAATAATAATATTAAATTAAAATATTTTAATGTGAATTGAAAAAAAATTGAAATTTATTTATATTTATTATTTCTTACGTTGATCTATTTTTTATAAAAATTTTAAATTTATAACATGTCAAATCATAGATAGATAGCACACGATTTGTATATTGCACAGTATTATCGCAAGATGGCATTGATGGCAATAGAATATAATAAGGAGAAACAGACATGATGCCATGACAAACGGTCATACTCGATCATCATTTACTTATGTATATATACATACTATCGTGTCTTATTCTACTGATTGTACCATCTATACAATCATCTATCTTTTTCTTTATTATTATACGATACGTGAACATTTATTTGTATTTTTCTCTATTATGATATTAATTTTTATAATAATTTATATTCATTTTTATATATATAATAAATATTAAAATTATACATCAGAGATTTGATAAGCCATCTTTTTACAGTTTTTCTATTAAATATATTATATATTATAATATGAAATATATTATATATATAAAATATTTTTCAAAAGGTTATTTACTGATAACTTTTTCGACGTTTGTTATCAATCATATTCTCGTGATTCTCTTGACATGCGTAAATAGAATTTTATCGTTCAAAGAATGAAAGAACAATTTTTAGATGTAAATAAATACATATTCGGTAATATTCCTTTGATTACAGATTATAAGTTACAGATTCACTAGTAAATAGTTTAATACGTTTTTTAACCATATTATTTCAACATATTTGTGATAAATTTTTATAGCAAAATCAAATACTACAATGATATTTAAAAATTGCATTTTATATATATATATATAAAATATTTAAAAAATGCATACATTTTAGCAAATAAAATAAAATCATAAAATTAAAATTATTAATTATATTATTAAATTGTAATAAATATAATTACTAATAATTATACTTGGTTTTATATCAATTTTATATTATATTTTTCTCTTTATATTAATTAAAAATATTATTTGATATTAATTATAAAATTAATATCAAAATTGGTTTAAAAATATTTTCTTCTTTAAAATACTTATTGTACTTCACCATAAATTAAAGATATAAATAAAAAAAAATAATTTATTTTAATGAGAATAATTATAGAATAATTATTTTATATAACGTAGAAAACTGCATTAGACATTAGACATTTTATCAGAAGTGGCGTGATCGTCAGGCCAGATATTGAACCACAGACAAACGATCTATGATTGAATTAAACTCATACGATACACTATTATTAAGAATAATTAAGTCTATGATAAATTTCTATGGCATTGAATGTCCGATAGGTGGCACTATTATACGGTTGTCTGAAGAAACTTTTTACATATTTGAAAAACGATTATCAAAGTAAACACATAAAATATAATTTTTCTCTTACAATAAACTATAATGATATAACTTGTACGTGATTAAAATTCTAATTATATTATATATAACATTTAATCTTTTACTTATGAATATATCGAAATATTCGAATTATATATATTTTTTTCATACTTATACTAAAATTTACAACTTGTCTTTGGCAAACAAAACACTCATTTAATATAAATTTAATTATTAATTATTAAATTTTCAAATAGTAAACAAATTAGGAATAATATTATTAATAACAATATAAAACACCTGTACACCTGTTGAGATTATTCTTATGAACGGCAATATCAATAAAAATTTCTCCAGAGAAGAATTTCCTATATTATTCCATTTTGTTTAAACAAAACTTCATATTCCATGAATCTTTATCATTATTCTTATCTAACACACTTTTATTTTCTTCTAAATCAAACATCGAACAGTATATAATCCTTTAAGCACCTTGACTGCATCGAATAAATTCTGTAAGCAATGCAAACTCGCACGATACACTATCGGAAAACATTGTCTCTCGCGCCACTATTGTCCAGCTTTCGATAAGTTCCCTTACACGCGTGGCCATCAGATGGCGATACTGTCGATCGTCCGACGAAACGCGCGTCACTGTAAGTACGAGCAGGCGCAAGTTGATACACCAATCGCGCCTGTCTCTATTTCCGTAGAGGTCGAACGCGTGTGCCAGCGAGATCAGTCCGACGTGTTCCAAGATTTCACTGCGGCTTAGACTTTAGCCGGACGGGGTCTGGCCTGCCTTGTCCCCGGCGTAACGACACCCGTAAGTACACCGAAATTCTTTGTATTTTCGCGTGATTTCGCCTGCATTGCGTCACGCGACCGGTTAATCGCTGCGTTTAATCGCGGCCTAACGTTTTTTCCGCGCGATTTTCCTCACGCGGCAATATCTATTTTGACAATTCACACAACGCATCGTGCCTGGTGGAAATTGTCCTAGAAACCTGAAATCGTTGCTCGTGACCATCGTGACAAGTTGAATTCAAACGATGACGCTTAGTTTTCATCGCGATGTGCACGAAATTCATCCACGAGTTATCGTGCCTCGGTTCGGCTACTCTCGATTCGATGCCCGAGGGTCACGGCGCGTTGATTGATCGCGCGTGTGCCGAATTTTTCAGCATTGTTACCGACACACCGCTTCTCTCGCCGAACTTCTCGACCGAATTCGAACTGGCGCAATACGCGATCGTGGCTTCGTGCAAATATAAATTGTTGGTCCTGTGACTTAGAATCGATTCGATTCGAATGTGCGTTTCGAACGATTGTTTTGCATGCTGTGTTCGTGCTTTTCTTTTTTTTCCTTTTTCTTCTTCTTTTTATACACGCAAATTTTTATGCGCGTGTAATTAACTTTTGCTCGGTGACAAAGACTCATTAAATCGAACGGTCGATGTAATCAAACGTTTATAAACGTTCTGGGCATACGATCTACCCCGAATGACGTTTAGGACGTTTATATAATAATCGGGTAAAATCGCTACAGTTGATCGAAGAATAATCAATACGAAAGATCATGATCTTCGATCCTGCAGTCAAGATCGTGATCTTTCGTATTGATTATTCGAATGTTATTGTGATTTTTCACGATTTAAAAAGTTTAATAAAGTTTTAATTCAGTTATTTTTTTCCAATATTTATGCTCTGTATTTTGATTACGCATATATTTGTAAACAATTTCAGATAACTTTAACTTCTTTATATTTAAAATTTTTATATCAATAAGAAACAAAGTTTTTTACTTTGATTTAAAATTTGGGAATTGTTTTTGATTGAAAAATTATATTCGTTGTAAAATATCGAAGTTTATGAATAATATTTCTGCTAAATTATCGAAGTTAAATAATCGGAAAAATTCAACGAGCACATAAGATTTTTTTCTTAAAATTATTTTTTAATCTATCACGTGATTATTACTTATTATTATTATTTATTATATGCAAATATTATTTGCATAATCCGTCTAGCGATGCAATTTAATTTTATCAAGTAAAGTCTGTTTCTCGTTATTTTTGTTTTAAAATATAAAAAAATTCATTTTGTATATAATTATATGTATATAATATACAATTAAATAATCAAGCGATAAATGATTTTTTAATGATACAAATAACAAATATCGATTGATGAATCATAATTACACATTGATGGTATTATCACTCGCATTATTCTATTTATATATATTTATATAATATTATATTTTATATTTCTCTGTTTATGGGTTAAAATGTTTTTAAATCAAACGTTTAAATAATTATTTCGATTGAATAACGTCATTAAAATTAACATAAAAAGAAAATATATATATATATATGGATATTTTATGGATATTTTATAAATGTTTAATTACTAAATGTCGTTAAACAGATAACTACGATACAATTGTACGATAAATACGCACAAACACATTAAGTGAGGTATCAATGCGGCGACGAGAACACGTGCATCAGTCGCTTGCGTATAATATAATATATATAGTACATACATACGCTAATCAAAGAGACACATCGTTTTTCAAATATAATACGAATTATAAATCACGTGCACACACGTACGAAAATTGCGTAATAATATCTAAAGAAACGAATTCATGTTTAAGAATTAAATTCGTTTTTTACAATTTCTTTCTCCAATAAAAAATATCGTTAATATCGAATAAACAATATTCAAACTGTATTAAAAAAAAAACCTACTAAAAAAGAAAAGAAAAATGAAAAGTCTTTGACAAAGTCTTGATGGTTATGACTCTTCAATTGGTTAGTATTTCTACTTCCCTGCGAGTAATATCGATTGAGCTAACGCCCCTTTTTCGGGGTTAACGTCGAAATCGGAGAATAATAAGCTGCAGCGGCTTTCTAAGTTGGCTCAGTTTTCGTCTGGCCACTCATGAGATCGATGAATCAGCTGTTTTTTCCTTTTTCATCTCAACGATGCTTTCAGTTTGTAAAAATCGATACCGCTTTTCCAGCATATCAAATCGCTTAATGGAGTCACAGACACGATTACAAAATGGTAAGAACGATAAACGGTATTGCGTTTCAAGATTGTGTGTACATGTGCACGATCGGAAGTGAGATAATATTAAAAGGCAAAATCTATTGATCGAGATCGCATAGGGAAGTTTATGTAGTGAATGAAATGGCGCAGGAAAGAAAATGGTAAACAAAATGTTTCCATTTGATAGAATGTTGTGAAACATATAGGAATTAAGATTGTACGTGATTTCCGGATCAAGCTGTTTTCGACGCTGTGTTGTTGCTGGATCGATAGCTGGGAATTGTTTCGCAGTTTGCACCAGTAAATTTACAACGTAACTCAATGACGTATCTCAAGTGGTTTGGTTGAAATTTAATCTTGGCGGTGGTAATGTTTAACAAGTTTAATTTGATGAAGACCTATAATACGGAAAATAAGGATAGACTAATTAAGAAGTCGTATTAATAGAAGTAGAACTCTTGACGCAGAGAGAATTAAATTGCATGTGTGAAGCATAAAATATATTCATTTCTATTAAATTAAAAAAATGATTTATACTGGATAAGAGAAAATTATTTTTGATGCATTAGATAGTTGTTTATGTCATGTTTATTGCAACATCTGTATAAATGATATTACAATTTTTTATCATTAAATTGTTAATATCAATATGATATATAATATTATAACGATATGCAATTATTATTATATTCTGCTTTTCGAGTTACAGATTATTCTCTGTTTCTCATTTTTCTTCTTCTTATAAAAGATCAAAGTTATTTTCGCAACTTTATGGGAAACGCGCATTTTCATAATTGTGAACCATAAAACTTAAAAACTTAAAAACTTTATCATTATTCTTTGAATTGTGATTTAATAAAACATGATAAATAATTATTAATTGATCAATTTTATCAATATATAATTGAATTCTATATTTTTACTTGAAATGATTTAAATCTCCATGAGAAGATTATTTTAATGTATGTTTTAGATTATAAGATTAATTGTAAAACATCTGTAATGGATTATCTTCCGAACTATTGATCTTTAAACTTTCCCACACAATTTTTTGTTTTGAATTATATTAATATATCGTATAATACAAGTTGAGATATTTGAAACTAATTTTTTATTATAATATACGAATATATAAATAGAATAGTGATAAATTAAATGGAATTTTTCCATTAAATTTATAATCTAGTCAATAATTAAAACCGTTTAAAAAAATATTTAATTTTCAATTATTATATAATATATATAGTAATTTTCAATTACTATATATTGATAAGGATATACTTTATTTGTGTAATTCAGTTTCCATTGACATTGATAATTATCGTTTATCAGTGTACCACGGAAAATCCAGAGATTCCGATGTTTTCTCTAGATTAGAAGATAATTTGTCACAATAAGTCGGATAAATAGTGATTTTATTGAAAGTATTCAAAACAGAATATCTCATTTTAATCTCTCAATGCAAGCATGAAAAAAATTCCATAAAGAAAAATTGTACGATATTAAGGAAGTTAAATTGTGCTGTCATTTATTTGACTTTGAAATGACCCATAAAATCAGATTAATCGATCATTTTTATATATTAAATTACTTATAATTTCATTTAAAAAAAGAAAAGAAAAAGAATCTCAAATTTATGTTTTTATACATTAATTTTTGTTGTGTTTATTTCAATATTTAAATCGATCCATCAAAAATATTTTCCTTATCCTTAAATTTCGTTATTTCCTTATCACATAAGAATAGATATCAAAATTTTATATTAAAAATTAAAGTAAAGCTTAAATAATGATTTATCTATAATTTGTAATTTATTTTACTTAAAACCTAAAACGTACATTATACTGCAAAATAACCTCCTCATTGATATGATAAAGTGCAAATGCATAAAAATTTCTGTAAAAATCATGTATGTAATAAATATATTGAAACTATTTTGCATATCTTTTGCTAAGTCATGAATATATATGAGATTCTAATTTTGGGATTATTTTAATCGACTTTATCTATTGTTTTTAACATATGAAATTCTTTATTATGATAGATGTTAAAGGTAAAGCTAAAAACACCACTTGAATTTCATTGTCAATGAACATTAAATTGACGACTTATTGAATGGTCATTGACCAATAAACACATGGTTGTGTACAGTCATTGCAACAATAAATGCACGCCAAGAATAACTTTATATTTAAACATATTTCGAATAAATTTTTTGTTTGACAATTAATTTATTTTTAAGTTTTATTTATCAGAAAAAAGATGGCTTTATAAAAAAATAAACAAATAAAAAACAAGGAACAATATATTGCTTCAATTATTATAAGAAAAAAAGACAATCAGAATGAAAATTATCATATTACATATTCAATAAAAAATATTACAAAATTCGAAAAGGCTAATTTAAAAGGAGAAAGAAGTCAATGTAGACCGTAAGGGTTATTGAATCGGTTCTATGACACGTATTAATTTAATGTGTCCGGCACGGTATTACGTTCAAGGCCGACCATTTCGCTTTGTACAATAGTACAGTTTCCTTTTCGTTCACTGTGAAATGATAAAATTATCAAATATCTCTATGCAAATTGCACGTTGAATTTGTTCAAATCATGGGCAATGACATAATAACACACATTTTCAATAAGGCTTATATTTAATTATGATATTAATTCCGAAGGTTTAAAATGTATAACAATTCAATATGATAACAATGATTTTTATAAACATGATAAATTGAAATATCAATATGAATGAATAGTAATCAAT